GTTATTATCACAAAACCGCACGCGGACTGAGATGTGCAATAATAATATTAATTGCTGATCCGTCGCCGTACGGGTTTTCATCAATAAATAATAATTATATTATAATTGTCCCTGGTATATGCGGGCAACGAGACCGTATTCAAACGTCATGTCCACACTCGGAGATAGTCGGTATCTGATCTTTGTTTTTTTTATTTTTATCTTTACCCACATTACGGCATTTCGGTGTGCCGGACGACTACAACTGAGGGTTTCAAATGTCCCGTCGGGTGTCACTCGTCGACGGTTTCTAGTAGGTCGGTATGTTTTAATAACAATAATAATAAAACCTAAAAAATAATATTAATAATATTGTGCTCCCTCCTACGCGAATCGAGTAAAAAGGTCTGTACGACATACCATAATACAATATTATTATATGTACAACAGCTATATATAATAATATATTATATAACAACGATAAGAACGTGTGTAGGCTGTATCGTCTTAATCTGTCGGTTAAAATGGTTAAATCCACTGCGAAATTCACTCAAAAAGTATACCCTCTGTCGATATGACTGTAATAACAGCATAACAACAACAGCAACAACAACAACAACAACAACAGAGACGACGACGGCATGGCGTAACGAATAGTAATATGACGTGAAGAAACGCCTAAAGTTTACATAACATTATACCGAGCAGTACAATATATACCTACCTAGTAAAATAATAAACTCGTCGGCGAGGGGTTAAAGTGTTTTTTGGGCTCGGAGAAACATTATAAAATAATAATTATGTTATAATAATGTAGCAAGCGAATCTTTTCTCCCGGGTCGTCCATGCGGGTTAAATTCAATTTTCAACAGTGTATTATTATTATTATTATTATTATTTTTATCGCATGCGATATTACAAGTACGCTGGTATAATAATAATAATATCATAATGCAATATCATCGTAACAGCGTGTGGCAATATCACAGAATAATCACGAAAACGTCGAGTCGCTCGATTACTGCATTTGTATGATAGACGACTTTTTTCCTCCAAAGCTGAACCGGGATCGCTCGAAAACAAAAAAAAATAAAACACGCACATGACTACACGTGTCTCATATATTACATTGCATGTACCACAATATGAATTATGGTGTTATAAGCCAGTAGCCTCACCAAGTATGACACTATAATATTCTACAGTGATACGATGACTATCATCGCTAAACGGTTTTGATTTTTGACGTTTGTGGTTATTATTTTTTTTTTTTTTTAGTAATATTTTGCGTAATAATTTCAATACACTAAATCATAATATAATATAATTTTTAAATTACAGATTTGGAATTAAAACCGTAGTAATTATTATTCCGATATGATAGATTTAAATGTTTTCGTATATACGTATATGATATTATGACCACGATTAGATAGTATAGTTGCGTGACGACACGAAAAAAGCGGCGATTGCAGTGTTTACATTTAAACTGACTGACTAATGCTGCTATCTAGTGATTATATGTGGAAGAAACGAGTTTTTACATATAACCACTAGACATGCAATAGTCTGAATGTCTCATGTGTCGTTATTAGTTTTTAAAATTTTTTTTTTATCAAGATTTCAAAAAATAATTATAAACTGGTATATATTATTATTATTTTTATTGTTAATTACGAAGGAACTAATTTTGACTGTTTTTTTTTACATTTTATTTGGTTTTTTTAATTTCGTGGTTTTTGGCATATTATGCGTATTTCCTCATACGCATTGTTAAAATGATGTACATAAATATCAGTCATAACTTGACTCTTGTGCTCTACACATCTCCATTTTAATATAAAATAAATATTTTGTAAAAATTCATCGATTGTATCATCAAATACATTGATGGAATCTGCATGTGTCTTAAGACCAGATTCTAACTCCTTAATATATACAAATATTGAACTTCAATATTAAACTAAATTTTTGTCAAATTCAAATAGCTTAATAAATAAATGTATAATAATATATTTATAAACTATTACTTTGTGGTCTACCCCGTCATTTATGATCGCGGTCAAAACCTTGTGAATTTATTGACCAATAGAGAACGCCGCCAAACAGTGAGATTCACCGTAAGCAATTACGTGGTTGATCTTGCCTATACATTTTCATCGTCGTCACACAACCATAATATTATCTTAATTCGTGATTATGACCATAATATGGCATATACCGAAAGGAACGATTTAAGAAAGAAAAAAATATGTTTCTAGCTAAATAACTCGGCTTCGCCCCTGTGCAGTTTCATTGTGTAACACTTTTTTTTAAATACTACAGGTAAAAATTGGGAATAACCATTCTTAATATTATAATTATCATAATAATAATTATTATTTATTTGATTACCTTGATTTATTAAAAATAGTTGTATGTATTTGGGTACTCTTCTAAAAATCTTTAAGCTACAATTTTACCTTAACTACCCGAAATATCAATGGAAACCATTTATATACAAAAAAATCCAATTTTTTTCGTGTAAATTAAAATAATTTTCCAAGGACTTCTTTAAAATGCACAATTTTGGAAAATCCTTTATTTCTTAGTGAGTCTCTAAATTATAAAACGGAACTACCTACTGACAAAATGTCATAGTACTCATAACTTTAGCGGTTTTGGTTAAGCGATGATGAATCAGTCAGCCAACATAAGTTATTTTATATTATATTTTATAGATTGCAAATAATATTAAATTTGAATGAGATAGTTAGTCGACTAACCGTTATTGTTCTGGTAATATACAGATAGATCCATATGTTTCAGTATCCATTCACGATTAAATGGCGACACGACCTAACCGACAGGAACGATTTCAGAAGAACAAAAATATATTTCTCGTTAATGTGTACTTACCAGTTTCAGTTGAAAGCATAAACGGGACATCACCGAACATGCAAATTTTGAAGATCGGAAATAACTAATAAACAAGAAAGTGGGATGAAAATAGTATAATGACAGGGGACAAAAATATAGTGTCGCGTAAGTGCAGGTTTAAAGCGTTCGCTAAATTAAAAAAACCACTAAAATCGCCGCAAATATTTCGTGCCTCTGACTCCCCGTATATCACACTGCAAAGCGGACGACAAGTGACTTTTAATAGTAGTATACACGTGCGTGCGTTACAAACGTTCTACAATAATTTTAATAAAATAATATAATTTTAATATAATTATATTATGGTCGTAAACGATGAGGGTATAAACGTTGAATATTTCGGAAAACAGATTTTCACGACAGCTCTTTGAACAAAAAAATTTAAAAAAAAAACAATGTGGTTTATATGTGCAATTATATTCCATATGTGCGTATGACATTTAAAAAAATCTTTTTACGAGTATAAACCACAATAGGTCGTGTTAAACTAATTTTTAATGCGTCAACAAAAGATTATTACATTATGAACACCTCTGAATGTGCGTTTTCACGTATATGTATATATATAACACCGTGAATCTTAAACTTCAAAATCGTAGAGCACATATTACCATTATTGGCCACTGAAAATTTAGAAATTTTAAGTTTCGTATAAATATTATCATCGGCATGGTCGTAATATAATTTTCGTGTTAGATCTTTCCAGTGAGTCGGCAGTGACTCGCTATTACCTACTACAATTTCTGTTATTATTTATACCTCCATCCAAAATATTTCCAATGGGTATTGTAATATTGAAAAATACGGCCTACTATAAGGCTGCGCTGTAACACCTCGATGTTTTTTTTTTATAAAATCAGAGACAAAATTTGCAATGACGTCAAATCACTGTAGTTGGGGGGACAGTTGTTAAATATAAGAACGTCGTGAAATACGCAAATCAATATGAATAAGTCATTCGAGAACTGCGCTCATGGCTTGTCCAGAAAAAATAGAATCAGGTTTTACTTCAGTTTTGGATTGTTAGTTATGAAGATCTAAAAATGTAAAGATAATCCCGACTTGTCGACAATAAAAATAAAAATTTTTTATTGTTTTACAGTGATGCATATTGAATTATAGAAACCTAATAATAATTAGTTAGTGTTAATTTCATTTTTCCGAAAGATCGGGTTTTGGGGAAACTGGGGTTTCTCAAAAGACTGATTGGCTTGAAGCAATTTAATTTTTTGAATACTGTTTAATTTCTCGTGAAAATATAATATTATTTGTGTTATCTTGTTGAGCCATTTGAATATTTTAATAGCGGTGCCAACTGCCGAAATATTTTAAACAGGCCAACATTTTTTTCATCGTAGTAACTAGGTACTTACATATAATTTATTCATTGACGCGTGTATGGGGTTATGGGGCTAAGGGTTGTACACTTTATAATTAATTAATGAATTAAAATTATTAATTATTAACTTCTTTCACCTTTTGCCTTTCGGATTTTGGTGTACATATAAATATATTTCAGGTACATTTAACCAATACAATAAACTCTATTATGTATATAATTAATCTAACAACAGGTTGCAAATTAAAAAACCGTCAAAATGTTAAAACATCTGTCTTCAATAAATTAGACAGAATATTAATATTGATAAATTATTCTCATATTGAAACTTGCCGAAGAATGTCTTCCATAAATCGAGAATCTATTTTCCTGATCTTAGTTATTCGTTATTACTGTTAATAATGACATTATACTACAATTATACACTGTACAAACTACGAACATAATTTTACTTCCTATAAAATGCTAAAAAAATAAAAACATTTTCTGGGAGGTTGGATATATTTATTTATTATTTGTCACGAATGCGCAATTGAATACATTTCCCGTTTAAATTTTCTTGCTGAAGCTTTAGAAAATTGCCTTAGGTATTCGTTAAAATTTTTAATTAAAATTTTTGCTTATATAAATCTTAGTTTATGTTGCAACTTGTATACTACATAGATGTGTATATTATCGTTAAAAGGTTCAGCCCTCAAAATCATAGTAAAAAATGAGATAAATAAATAAATAAATAATACATAATATGATGACTTGTTCGCAGGACTTATACTCGCTGCCGGCCTGTTCGTGTTCGCCTCCGTGCTCAACGACAGCTTCTCGCCAGTCGTTTATCAGTCGATGGACGGCGGCGACGGTGACGGGTTCGACGGTGAACTGCGGTCCGACTACGATTACCGGTACGGTTGGTCGTTCGTCGCGTGCAGCCTGGCGTTCCTGGCGTCCGAGGCGTCGGCCGTGTTCACCATCACGGCGTACTTCCGGCGGCTGGAGGACCGCGTCCAGTACACGGCCGTCGACCGGAAACCGTCGCTGGAAACTCCACCACCGACCTGCGGCGGCGACAGGACGTCGTCGGCCTGTTCAGCGGACGGGCTGGCCGATTCATCCGACGGCGCGTCTGGTGCCGCCAACGTCGCGGCCACTGAAACGACTTCGCGATCGGATCAGTCGTCGTCGGCCGCCGCCGCCACTTCCGGTCGCCATCAGTCGGCCCAGTGCGCGTCAAACGGCGGCGGTGGCGGGGCCGATCAGGCCGCGTCGTCGTCGTCGTCATCGTCACCGAGCGCCGTCGCGGCCGAGTCCTGCAGCAACGGCGTCACCAGCAAAACGCCGCCCGACATATGTCCACTGAAGGTCGGCTGCGACGGGCCTGCTCCAGCCGCTCCCGGCGCCACGGCCATCGGGCACCGGTTGCCTGCCGTCTCGGCGCCGTTCATCAGCGCCACGTTGAATCACCCTCACAAGTCACAGCATCAGCACCACAACCACCAGCAACAGCAACAGCAGCACCACCACCACCAGCAACAGCACACGCAGCACTATAGGCAGACGCTGGCCGTGGGGGGTAACGGTTCGTGTTACGAGGTGGACACCACCAAGCCTTGCACGTGCACGTCGGCCGCTACGCTGACCACCAAACGGTACGCGACCATCGCCGGCGTGGCCAGGCACAACGGTGGCAAACAGTACACGACAACGACGACGACCGCGTTGACGAACAACCACAACAACAACAACGGCGGCAGACGTTCGGCGGCCGGTCTGGCGGCCATCAAGGAATCGGCTGCCGCTCTGGCTGACCATCACCCGCTGCAGCACAACAGCGGCCACCATCACCGAAAACCCGAGCCTCCGACTAGGCGTCTCAAGGCGTCCGTCGGTGGTTACGTCGTACCACAGACGCCCATCGCCGCGCTTGAAGCACTGGACTGTCCGCCGGTCGCCGACCCGCGGCTCGTCGTGCCCAGTTCGGTATGACGAAATTGTCGCGTCGTCCTCGGACAGGACGAACATGCCGTCTGACGGCGACGCGACGTCCAACCGCTGTTCTTGCACGTACGCCCTCGCACTGGCCACGGCGAAACAGGAAGAACCAGAGAACATATACTATTGTCGTAAACGCCTCCCGCATGTGCTCCGACCAAAATATTATTATTACTATAATTATTATTATTATTATTATTATTGTCTAATAAAACATATTATATCCGGCTACCAACCAACACGTGTGTTCGTGTCCATGTTACTGTGAATTTCGTTACATCGGAATGCAATGGCTTAACCATTATTATGAAATTAGAGGTTGGGGGAGGGGGGGGGGGAGGATCGATTATAATTTAAACCAAGTACTAAGTTTTTTACAGGTTTTGTGTTTATATAAATAACATAAATAATACGTTTACTAAGGAAAAAAATATAAATGGAGAGGGGGGACCACACAAAAACCCCCAGGCCTCGCCAGTGTCGGAACGTAAAACGTTATCGGCCAGCTATTAACGTTATTCGCCTACAAAAAACTTGAGAATTATCGCGAATGCTTTGCAAACCCCTCTGATGAAATCATGATCAGACCCAGTGTGGTTTATTCGTTTATTTATTCGATGACTTACGGAACCTGATGAGGTGACATAATAATATGGCATTGCAGTTATATTTATAATGAGACAGGAGCGCAGTGTATAAGAAAAACTTTGGAAGTATGTGAAATCGCGAAAATAGAGAACATTAAATGTTGTGTTAAGTAGGTAATAAAGTATAGTGAGATTAACGAAAAACCAAAATAAATTATTAAGTCTGCAAAGCCCCTCCGGATGATACATCTTATCGAGGAGGCATTATTATACATATATATAGTGTCTTTTTGCGTTCAATAGATTTTCAGTCTTATCACATTCTCATCTTTCTCCGGGTACTTAAACTTAGTTATAAAGTCGGTCACGTCAATGGCTATTATATGAACGTAAATACTGAAAGAAATAACTGCTAACGATGAAAAACTGTTGGGTATAATTACAGAATATGTTCAATTTACAGGTAAAAAAATGTCAGTACCTAAGTTAACCGAGAAATTTTGAAAAAAAAATTTTGGGTGTAATTTTTATTCAATTTTCAAATAAAGTGTATTTATCAAATTTCTTATGACAGAACACTATCAGTGTTAACATTAAGTAAATGTATAGACAGATTTTAAGCTAAAATACAGTGTCCACATTTTGTATTGTTCTATGACTTTATAGTCGCATTGGCTACACTGGCTGACTAATTATGACTTATTCCGCTTGTAAAAACGTTTAAAATAAGCTAAGAGTCACTCATTTTTTTTCAATTGTAAACAAAAACTGTAAAATGTTCGTTGATTTACTTTTGCCCGTTAATTTTACCACCGGTTATATTAATTACTGGGCTCACATCTCTAGGCATAATATAATGGACGATCTGATCGAATTAGCATAATATGGTGGAAACAGTTGGAAACGAGGGAGGCAGCTGGGAAAAGTCGTGTTGAGGGTTAGCATTGCAATGACAAACGTTATGGCTGGCGTTGAAAAGTTATTTAATAACACTAAATGTCACAACAGTTCTTCTTGTAAAAACAAATAAATGATGTAACAATATAGTAATACTATACTTACCTACGATGTTTTAGATTTAAAAATACCTACGTCACGGTAATATTATTGCCCACATATTATTATGTACATTTGGTCAATAACTTTAATATTATCTGTTCTGTGTAACCATATAACTACCACCCATATAGTAATATGTATTTGGACAATAATTTTAATGACCGGCGAATAACGTTATATTCCGATTAACGTCATTATGTAAACATTCCGAATTGTCGAGTACTTTGTATCGTTCGTGTTAACATCGCTTTTGCTCGTCTCGCCTCTGGCATCCGTTTCCCCAGCTCATTTTTTTTTTGTTTTCCTGAGAAAATATTTTACTTAATGGCTTACTGCGCAGGTCACACGATATTGAAAAAGAAAACACTAAAATCTTTGTTTGCGTTGTATACCGGCACTCGAGTAAATATTATATAGGTAGGTATACAATTTATATATGATTCGTGCAGGCTGTATTTTTTACTTCAATATAAATCGAAATATACAACTTTATAATACTTGGTAAATTGGTCAAATTCAGTTTTATAATACGTGGTAAATTGGTCAAATTCAGTTTTATAATTACAAGGTGCTTATCAAAAAGCACGGTCTTTTTCAACCTTTCTGTTTTTATGAGAGTGTGCCAACGCTGGCTTTCTATTTTTTTTCGGTTTGGCTTTTACGTATACGTATCATATTATAATGTTAACATAGAAACGTATAATCCTTCAATAATTATAACTATATTATATTATATGAAGTAAATACATATTAAATAATACAATAGGTGTCGACTAATATCTAAAATAGACGATTGAATTAAATAAGACAAAATGACCTATGAATAAACCAATCAAAAAAAAAATAATTTTGACAGAATAATAATATTTCAAATGATAAATAACATGAAATAATAAAAATAATAAAAGCAATTTATTACAATATAACAACAATAATAATATACAAAAAAAATGAGTTCCGTCTTCAGAGCTAAAAGTAAAATATATGGCATACTGAAAAAAAAAAGGTCCACTACTGGTAAATTACTTGTAATCATTTTTAAAAAATAATTTTCATGTCTACCAAAATTGATTATTTTTACAATTTTAGATTTGTTTTTTGAAAAAACAAAAACTTGATATTACATACTATATTTTTGTACAGAAGAATTATTATCAATTCAGCACATTTAAATGGAGTTTTTTTTTTATATATTCGTATATTTAAGAGTTCAACAGACTCATATACAATTATGTATTTGCATCGATTTTTAAAATGGTTGTATGGCATCATTTTCACACCCTTCAACACACCATAGCTATTTACAGGTGGTCATTCGAAAATATTGTAAATAAATGTTGTAATTGTTCGAATGCATAAAAATAATGAATAATTGAATATATTATAAGTTATACATGTAATTTTAGAAAAATCTAAGACTATTATTTTTAGCGTTTGTAATATATTATACATTTTATGGTTTCTATAATAATTATTGTATATAAATGTATAATAATACCGTACCTATGATATGATTATATGTGTATTCTAACGAAAATTGTCTTGAAAACGATAACAATATTTGTTTTACAATTAAATGTGATTTTTATGCAAAATTGTGATTTTTTAACTGCGTTTTAAAATGGAAGTATTGAATATTGAATTGAATATACACGGCACTATGTGATTGTATAATATTTCCACAATGTTGAGTGTTGCAAATATATAGTGCGTACCACAGTACCTATAAATATAAGCACCTAACGTTATATAATTAAATTATAAATTTTATATCATAACCAAAAAAGGCATTACAATTTCAGGACAAATAAACTTTTCATTTTTAATGAAATTCTTTACCTTCTACAGAGTATCGGATAATGATGCGTTCTAGAGGACCTATTGCGATGAAAATATTTTAGATGAACTGACGAAAATCTGAAATTCACCAATCCCATATAATACAAGAGAATTAAAATATTTGTCATTAAAAAAAAAAGAAAAACAAAGTCGGATCGATTTTCAATTTCATTCAGCGTATCGATCTTGGACCGTGGCAGCCGCATAAGTCGATTGCAAGACACTTTGTGCGGTCACCCGCAAAAAATGAGAACCGCGGACAATTTGTACTATTTAAAAAAAAATGTATAATTTGTTTTTACAAAACACAGGTAGTTAACACATAAAAAAAAAATAATAATAATAATATTAATTATGGTAATAAATTTGTCAATAATTATTTGTGGTATGTATTTTTAAAACATTCACTGTCACATAAATCATAATAATATATATATATATTTAAAAATTAAACGAATGGCAAATTATTTCGAGCAATTGTAAATAAGTTATAATTTTACTTTCATGCTGTACACAGGCATAATGAATTTTCTTTTGTGTATTTTGGTTTTTTTTCTTGTGTTTTTGTTCAAATGACTAGAGCATTCGTCTGATTGCAAAGACCGCTAAACACTCTAGAAACTTGGATTGACCGATCCAACCAATTTATTGAACGAACTGTTCCATCCTTCACTAAAATTATTCGTCCTGTGTGAATTCTTAATTGTTTGGTGTCTGACATTTTTTTAAATTTTATCTCATCTTTTAAGATATATTTCCCGGTTTATTTCTACCGTACTAAGTGTCCGCGATATGCAACTCAAACAATAGATAGTACAAACTGTCCGTTTACCGCATAAATCATATACACATTCGGCCAGCCCCTTCACTAATTGTTTCGATCGCTGTACAAAATCTTCCAGCCATACAGAGTGAAGTTATAAAATCTAAAAGTTATTTCACGCTGCATGTCCGTGACAACCCGTGAACCATGGTTTTCGGAAAAAAAATTTTGAACTGTTGAACGTGAGATAGTCGTGCACTTAAGTGTATTTGCTCCCTCCCCCTCCTTTTTTTCTGCTGGAATTTCTACTCTTTAAGAGTTTTTGCCACCATAACTACACTTTGCAACCTATCTCTATTTTTTGCTGTCTCTCTTCAATCCTTAACTCCAGTGATTTTTAAGTCTTCCTCTACCACATCAATTCATCTTTTCCTAGGTCTACCTCTAGGTCTTTTACCATATGTTTTCTATTCTAAAGCTACTCTTAACTAGTTAACTACTTCGTTCTCTCGTTTTCTCACTATATGACCTAACCATTCTTTGGACCTAAATGAAGCTTGTTACTGGTGTTAGTTCCAACATACCGTACAGCTCTCTGTTGTACCTCTTCCGCCAAATCCACGTTATTTCATCAATGACAGGTCCACATATTTTCCTCCATACTCTATGCTCAAAAGTCCTTAGGTTTCTTTCTGCTTATTTAGTCGTCATCCAAGCTTCGCAACTTTACGTGAGAGTCGGTCTTATAATAGCCACGTACAGTCTTGTTTTCATTTTCCTAGATATCATTTTGGATGTAAAGACTTTGTCAGTGCGTATAACGTTTTTTGAGCCTTATTTATCCAAATACTTATTTCTTTTGACCAATTATTCTTTGTACTTAACGTTGCTCCCAGATATTTAAAATCGCTAACTTTTTCATAGGCTAAATTCTGCGTCACACTGGGGTCCTCCCCACTCTCCATTAGTTCCATTATCTATGTTTTCTTATTGTTTATTTCAAGTCCTATTTTCTTCGATGTTTCTTCTAACACTTTGGCTGCATTAGATGTATCTTCAAGCGAATCACCTATTATATCTAAATGGTCAGCAAACCCGAAGAGCCGTTCGCTCGTATCTTTTTCCGGGCGATTAGTAAACTACCTTCATTGTCCTGTAGCATCCTTATCACCTTCTCTAGGGCAAGATTGAAAAGTACTGGGGACAGGGCGTCCCCTGTTATAGTCCGGCTTCTACTGTAGAGGTTCCTGATGTTATATTTTGTGTTCTTACTCTGTGTTTTGTGTTTTCCATACACATTTTAGTTAGTTTTATCAATTTTTTGTTAAATCAAACTCGTACATAATGTTGTAGAGACTCTCTGGATACTATCATATGCTTCTTTAAAATCTATGAATAGTTGCCACATATTCTGCCGATATTCGTACGTCTTTTCAATAATTTAGACTATTAAAGATAATTGTTCTGTGGTTGAACGGCCTTTCCGGACACCACATTGGTATTCACCTAAACAATTCTTGGCATAAGGAACAATCCGATTTAGTAGTATTCTAGAGAAGATTCTCGTATGAAAACTTCTTTAGTTATTTCAGTGTTGTTCTTAATAAAGTCATCTCTCGCTTTACTGCATTTGTCAATAGTAATCCTACAAACTTCATTATACCAAGTATTTTTTTTAACTTTTCAGCCCACCAATACTAGTGGCTTCTGATTTGTTGACAGCATTACTCACTTTTTTCCAATCCATAACTACGTCCAATTGAATATTATTCTCTTTAAGATTCTTCATGACTTCGTTCTCATAATTTTTCCTCACAATTTCATCTTTGAGTAACTCTAGATTAATTTTAGCCTTTTTGTCTTCTTTTAATTTCGATTGACTTTTTAACTTTGATCTAAGTTTTGCAAATCACTTAGTAGTGATCCATGTCACGATTGGCGCCTTTATGGCTTCTTACATCGTAAATGGTAAGTTTCTGGCCTGTATGAGAACGTGGTAAATTTGGTTAAGTGTAATCGCCATCTGGTGACCTTTTACTTCTGTTGGTGTATGTCCATTTATTATACAAATATTAATTGGTCTAGTGTTGATTAATATTGATATCCGTTCAGATACTGGATTAAACTCTTTTATATACGGTACTAATATCCTATGAACTGTAAAACCGCTACTGAAGTGATGCGTATTCTCCATTCCAGAGAAAAAAATTGTGTGCTCTCCAATCGTTAGTTGTCCTACACCCAATCATCATATTTGTCTTGTATGGCTGCTACTTTAAGGTCGTAGGTGCTAAGGATATTAGCTAGAGACATCACAAGAGATAATATTTTAATTTTTTTTAATTTTTATTAGATTGTAATATTGTTAACTAATTAGTAATTCGATTGTATACGTTATAGATTAGACTCCTGATTAGAAACCAATGTCTCAATGGGGTTTTCACAGTACTCTTGTTTTTCAAGACATAAAAAATAAAATTACAAGTATACGTAATAATGATACTCACTTATCGACTATATAATAGGACCTATGAGTAATTTAGGGTATACCACAGTCAACCGTCAATACTAACATAATATTATATGAGTTAATTTAATACATTATTCAAATTACCAAATTTTGGCATCACTGTCCTCCATTTGTTTAAAAATATAAATTTTTAATAAAATGAAAGATACACCTTACACAGTATTAGGTAATTAGTGGCTTACAAAATGTTGTCTTTATATGCAAATAGAAAATACATTTTGTATCATAACAATATCTATGTCACTAATCTTGTTTCCTGAAAGCCAAATCTGGGTTCCAAGAACATTACTAGATTGATGACTTAACACAATATGAGAGTGAAATATATATAATGGTATAGAAGCAACTTCATCCATGAGAATTGAAAGATAAGCTTCTGAGAACATCTGCATCAGAATTATCGTTAAGTCATTGACAATCAGCAACAAAATTGACTCTACCTAACAAAATGTTTCAAGCCATTTACAAGCAACATAATCATCATATATTTGTGTATGACTATTAGATCTTCAATTTCATAATTGTATATTTTACACTTAACAAATAGTGAACAATTAACAGTGTAATATTTAATATTGTGGAGGTATCCCTAAACTCTTAGATATTAACTAGAGAAAGAACTACTGAAGAGAACCAAAAATTCTACTACATGTTTGTATATAATTAAACAAATCTAGTGGGTATGTAATGTAGAGATGATAATATTATTTACTCGTGCCCCTGAGAGAGCGCTACTAGTTCGTAAATCTAAGAGCTCCGTGTTTTCGTACACAAATTTATCTTACTC